TGAGACTTACCATATATTTCTGATCATCTAAAACAAAGACAATTAGCATTTTAATGCAGTGAAGTGTATACACAGACATGTAATTAAATGTTCAACATATTCTACTGTTGTATTTGGCTTGGTCTCTTCAATACAGGAGTGAGCTACATACCTTTGGATTTACCTGCGATGTTTGCTTTTGTTCTGAATGAAAAAAGACATAATAGATTGGGTTTGGTTAAAAAATATCCTTACTGAAGAGGAAGCAACAGCACAGAAACATTTCTCAATGTACTGTGTTAAGTCTGATCCACACTTAGGTTTTCAACATCATATTTGAGACAACAAATCACATAATGAACAGTTTTGATCCTATAGTGTGCAGAGCAACGATATGACCTAAACACTAACACTGTGATGCTCTCAACCTGCGGCAAAAATCCCCAAAAATGATTTACAAAGGAAACATTGTCAGCAGAAATGATTAAGTCTCATCATCACAGTGTTTCCACATAGAAGGAAACTCTAGAGAGTGAGAGAAATCAGCTGGTACATCCCGCTGTAAATGCACCGATTCTTCTTTTAATATTTTACTGCAGCTGCTGTCTGCACTCATAGTTTATGATGATTGTTGTGATACGCATCATCATCAATAAGCCTCCACACACGAAGATCACCTGATGTGATTACAGAATATCGAGTGAAACATTTGAAATGCAGGTCATCTTATTTGAGCTTCTTTAGCATACTTTTAATGTGTGTGTGTGTGTGTGTGTGTGTGTGTGTGTGTGTGTGTGTGTGTGTGTGTGTGTGTGTGTGTGTGTGTGTGTGTGTGTGTGTGTGTGTGTGTGTGTGTGTGTGTGTGTGTGTGTGTGTGTGTGTGTGTGTATTTGTGTGTTTGTGTGTGTGTGTGTGCGTAGATAAGAGAACGGAAGGGAAGTAAGATAAGCAGATTAAAGTAGTTTATGACACAAATTATAATAAGTATGAAAAAAACACAATTAATATAAATATGTTTTTACAAACATTAGGTTTATATATAACCAAACTAATATAAACAAGGTACGATGACTTTTTATCGATTCAGCATGGTTAATTATTGGATGGCGTTCTAAACTAAAAAAGTTGTCACTATTACTCTGCTGACTCACTTTTATCTAAATATTTGCTGATTCAGCTTTCTCCACCGACCAATCTTTTCCTGATGCCTTTGATTTATCTTTTGACAACTTGTTGACCAACTTATTGTTTTCACATGTTTGTATCTGAAGTTCTTCTTCTACATGTTGACCAAATATATATGTGAAAAAGTTGTCTTACCTTTTGGAATCACATTTATCTAAAAAAAAAAAAAAAAAGTAGTTATTGATATCAGCAAGCTTCCACAAAACCCTCTTAACAGGAATACGCACATGTTAACTACCGCCAGCTTCCTTTAAGAGAATCAAAAGTTGTTTCATATGAAATATTTTCTTCAACTGCAAATGGGTGTAAATAGTTCACAGTTTTTTTTATATTTGAGATATTAATGATTTGTCATTTTACCAATTCTGCTCTGAGCAAAGAGAAGGGCCAATCCCAGCAGGAGGACACCCCCCGTCACAGCTGCTGCGATCACCCACATGATCTTCTCTGCATCTCTGCAAGAGAAGAGGCAGTTAAAAAGTGTCACCTTACACAGGTTACATTAAACGACTGAAGACTAAGGGCAGGCTCATACTAGGCAAAGTTGTCCCTTAACGTGCTTAAAGGTCCCATATTATGCTTTTTCTGGTTTTATATGCTCTTTAGTGTATTTTCCAAGTGTCCTGTGCATGTTTAGGCACATCTATTTGCAAAAATTCAGAGTCTTCTCCTACGTCCTCATGTTAGCTGCAGCATTAGCTGCATGTAACACTCGGTTCTAGCCTCCCTCGAAAAAAATTTGCCAGTGTGACATCATTGTCAGTGTGATATCACTGATCTAAGCCCATTGGCTCGTTGTGGCAAGCCCAGCAGCTCATGTTGCACGCCCGTTAACTTCTGTAGCACGCCCACAATATGCCGTAGCCTGCAGTAGCACAGTAGTGCTAAGGTGCTAATGTTTATGCTCCCCTTGGAAGGAGCCAAAGTGGTTGCATTCCCAATACGGTAAAAGGGGCGTGACATTTCCGAGAACCGTGCTGAGCGACTGACCAATAACGGCAGAGCCGACCAATCAGATCAGACTTGGCACACGTGGGGACTCTGATTGTGGGCACTTCAGAGCCTTAGAGAGAGAGTCAGAAGCGAGCCAGTGCATGGAGCGGCAGTACATGAAAACAGACACTTTTTTAAAACTTTAGCTATTGTGAACATACTTTAGTAGGTACATAGATTAAATATATGAACCCCAAAAAGGGCAGAATATGGGCTCTTTAAGCAGGATAGCCACCCCTCCCCATTCCTCCACTGGCCTGCACTCACGCTGCTCCAGGACTAACCGGGCCTGAGCACGGTACGGATTGCCGAGTGTGAGTGCGCCCTAACACAGCCGTCTCCACAACAACAACACTGGTGTTTAGCACAAACAGCCACAACAAGACCTACAACCAGCCGTACTACGACTGGATTAGAGACATGTTAACATTCTTTACACCAAAGTGAACACCTGAAGAAGAACTATGTCAAAAAGCATGAATTTCTTCTCCTCTCTAATGTTCTGTATGCACAGATGTTTTTTAAAGCCATCTGGGGGGAAAATGGCTCTCTAGAGACTCTTGCAGGATTATTAGATTCACCCAAAGTTGAAACCATTTTGACTTGGTCCAAGCTCGAAACATCAGTCAGGAGAATTTATAATAAATCTCATCTTAACATTTTGATTTACTAAACATGGTCTACTCTTCTTTCTCCACCAGATGCTGCATAGAGCTCATATTGTATCTGTTTCCTTAAGGCCTAGTAAATAACATTAAGACTGTACTGTCTATACTTTTCTTGAACAAAAGAAACAAATTCACTCAGAGGAGTGAATTTGTCTGATTTTGACGAGACTTGCATGTCAACGTCATCAGTATATGAGTGTGTGGGTAAATATGTTGAAGTTGTGCTTTAAAGACTTAACAAATGTCAGAGAGCACCACATGGGGGTTCATGTATATAAATCACTCACATTACACCAACCAATAAGCAACCAGTATGTAAGAACAATCTGACAGACATTTAAGTTGTCCACTTTGTAAAATACGTTACCTGATTCTGGTGTCCCTGGTGTTTGGGAGGTAACAGTGGAACCACCATTTATACTTGTGCCCATAGTCCAACCTGTTCCATAAGGAAAGTACATTTCAAAATAAGTTTGTTTTAAAGGAGTCACCAGAGTAGAAGCAACAGAGCTGGGAACAGTCAGACCTGGCCAATAAAAATACCTCTTTAATTTTTTACAGGTCATCAAAGTTGTTAATTGAAGTTTTCTTGAATGATAAAATGTTCTACAGTAGTTGTGACAAATGATGGCATTTTCTGGATCCTGCTTGACTCTCTCTTCACAATACCTACAGTAGCAGGAGACAGATTAGGGCTCACCAATTCCTACTTTTTAGATTGGTAGGTGACTTTTCTTAGCAGCCTTGATATTAGTTAATTAGTATTTGTACATATGTTAGTATGAATCTTAGAGATGGGCCGGGATGCATAACTTAGTTTTTTAGGTTGATGCTAACACATACTGGAAAATGTCATTAACTGGCTAACTTAATTAGCACTGCAATCATTTAAACTTAGGGAACAATATATTTTATTTAACATACTAAATAAACAACACTGTAGTCACTTGACTTACAGGCTTGTATAAAACTAAACTCTGTGCAGACAAACTTAAAACTGCTGACTCATGCTAGTCTGGTCTCAATGCTCTGATCTAGTAACACTGCATGACTTGCTCTTAATGTCTCAGTTCACGGGACATAACAGAAACATTAAGAGTGTTTCAGCCCAGCTTCTCAGTTCAATTTTGACTGTGACACAGAGGATAATGGTGGAGGCACGGTGGGGATGAGAAAGTCAGGCATCAATCTTGTAGGGGACTGGTTGCTGCCACTTTTCTGCCTGTGCTGAACTATTGTGATGTGAAACATATGCACACTGTTTCTCAAAGGTAACTCTGGACTCTGTATCACAGAGTTCTGCGGTTCATCACTCCTTTCATCACTTCATTTTCTGTCATACCTCCTGACCTCCATCAGTCAGATGAGAAGAGGAACTCATAATCTTCTCACAAACTTTCCTCGCTGTCTGTTCCAAAAGTGGGAACTGAACTGGGGAAAAAGTTGTTTAAGTTTGCTGCCCCTGTTACTTGGAAGGAATTACATCTGGAATGGACAGATGTGCAAAAACTGGAATGGCTGTTTAAGTTTGAATCATTTTGTTTCAAAAGCCTGGAAAAGAAGACAGGATATTCTGTTTAATTAGTTTGACTTGCTTTTGCTTTCTCTTTTTGTTTCTTGCCAATGAACATAGTTTACCTAATGCACTCTGATCCTGGAACGTTTTAATTTATGGTGTCACGTAAGCCCATGCGGGCTAGGCATATGAATGTATGTGACAAAATAATGAAATAAAAAAACTTCAAACTACAAAAATACCTGAAACCTAACTAGCTGCTGTCATGTTTTAAGAGGATGTTAAATGACTTGGAAGAGGACACATCTGGCTGTAGATGTTCCCTTCTGATATATGCATGTTTGTGGGCGATATTGACAACTATTTGAGGATTAAATTTGTTATTTTGTATATTTTGGTTTTTAATAGTTATGTATTATATTAGTATTTAAGGCAGCACGTTGTTTGTCAGAAACTCTGAAAATTGTGCTGCTGCCTGTCTTGGCCAGGACACTCTTAAAAAAAGAGATTTTTATTCTCAGATGTTTTTTCTGATTAATTAGTATAAAGGGTCACTCAATCAATTCTGACTTTTAAAAACAAAAACACTCTTAATTAAATCCTGAAACGGGCATGTTTAAAGATGAGTCTCAATCAAACCTGTCAGAATTGTATTCTTAACAGCTGCAGTTTAAGGCAAGCTCTATTATCCAAGACAAGTGGCTTCTTCACTCTATCTGTCAGGTTGGTGTTCAGTTGATAGAGTCCATCGTCTCTCAACCGGAAGGTTGGAGGTTCGATCCCCAGCTCCTGCAGTTACATGTCTGATCTTACACTTTTGATTTGTTGTCTGTGTAAGGACTTTGCTCTTTTAAAAATGTTTGTTCTGATGTATTCTGTCTGGTCTTTTTAACCTTGAATTTGTTATGTGTTGTGTGTATCTAATGGAGTGCTGAATCTCCTGTCTTGCACAACAAATTAATCTATGAAGGTACAAATAAAGAAACCTTGAACCTTGAAACTTGAACCTTGAACCTTGACTATAGCTAGCTGCATACAGATGGCTTCCCTCCACTGCTTTTTTGCAGAAGCTCTGCATCCTGGGCAGCTTTGCTTTATCCTCTATAGGATTAATAGCATAGCATAGTCATCTCCTCCAATCCCCCGTCACCAGGATGGATTGTGAACTCCTCAAAGTAATACTTGACTGCCTTATTGAAGTTTAACCCATGCAGATTTTTCTCAAAATCCATCTTTAGGCCGATCACTCTGTATCTCTATACTCGTGTCCTCTGGGAAAGACGATTTCATTATGATTTCACCATTATGCCAACGATACTCTAAATATTAAGATATTTTAGCAAAACCAGGAAAAAAACCTCTTCTGCTTTTTGCTGATGGAGGGGACTAAAAAACTTTGAAGATAAAACCCAATAATAAGGAATCAACTGTCCTCTCATAACTGTTAATAACTGCTTTGTCGCTATCCAAAAGTGGATTTATCTTAATTTTCTTAATCCTAATCCTGACAAAACTGAAATATCATTTTATTGTAACAGATACCATTACCACTGTAGTTGATCAGTTAATTGGCTCGTTTCAACCAAATATTAAATCTTGGTATCGTCTTTGACCAACGTATGACTTTGACCATCATACCACTAAGTTTGTCCAGGCAAACTCCTGCTGTGTGGGACTTGTTTAAAGGATAAATCAGGAGTCTGTTGGACTTGAATGTCTGAAATATTTTTGTTTTAACAGGAGTCTGAAGTTTAAGGAAAATGTGGGACTGTAGTTTTATGTGACAGTGCTAGTTAGTAAATGACAGTAAAAGAGTAAGCAACACTAAAATATGCAGTAGGCTATACTCACCTTGATCAGCAGGTGAAGTTACAATAGAAACTGAGGTTGTCAAAGTGCTGAGACTCTCCTTGTTTGGGTTTGTCTCACCTAAAAATAAAATCAAATGTTTTGTTCATGACATTTACACCACAGGGTTTTTCTTCTGCTGATCCAGCTTGAAGACAGTTTTACTTACTTTGAACAGAGACAGAGGAATATTCACTTTCTGGAGATCGAGCATTTCTGTCTCCATTCTGAACAATGTAAAAACATTTCACTTTGACCTCAGCAGGTGAACTCTGATGATCCATCCTCAGCAGCTCACTTCCTGTCAGTGTCTGCAGACAGGATAATGTCCTCACAGTTCCTCCACTTAAAGTTTGGTAATAACACTGAGACACTGATGATGGAGTCTGACACTTCAGTGTGACCGAGTCTGTCTCTTTGATCACCGCTGAATTCACTGTAAGTTTAGGTGGAAGACGAGCTGAAAATATAACCCATGAATATGTTTTATCAAACTCAAACATAAGCTGTATATAAATGTTTAAATTCTTCAGTAGTGCAGCGATCACAGCACAGTTAGACATGAACCATGAGAGATCACAGACTGACCTTCTGTTTGAATCCCATTAAAGACATCTGTTTAAAAAACACAGTGAAAGTAAGTTGACTACATAATAATAACTCCAAGAGTTCACACATTTAAACTCCTCCAACTATTCATTTATTTTAATCAAAAGTAGAATCATTAACTGAGACAAAAATAGATTTTATTTGTCACAACTGGCAGAACACAAAACACAATATCACAGACTCAAAGCTTAATCACTGATATGATGATATCTGACATGACACATTAACGTCATGTTTCAATCTGCAGAGCTTTATAATAGTCCACAATAATACTGAATAAATCAATAAAGGTTTTACTTACACATGAAGAAGACAAACAGCAGACGTCCGGCCATGATGAAGCTGAACACTGAGACTGTACAGAGGATACGTGTGTGTCTCACTGTGTGGACTTTGTGGTTAATGAGACCAGGTTCTTAAATTAGATACATGAGAACGACAGCTATCAGAAATGAGACCCAGGCCAACAGCCCAAGCCTATTGTTATTTTTAAAGTAACTTGTATGCATATGTGTTAGTGTCAAATCCCGCACACAATGGAAACTAGCTTCTGTAGAAAGATGACATGGTGTATCTGCAGGTGTAAAACTGACACTTCACTAACACGCTGAGCTTGTTTGTGTTTTGCTCTCACTAAAGACAAAGTTTGTTCCGTCTGGTTGATACATTTCAAAGTGTCTTATATCAAAAAGTATTTGGTCTTTGTAATTATGGATACTAGTTTTCTTTGGGTGACCAGGTGTCCCTCTTTGTGCAGGACTGCACAACAAAGTGTTCTAGTAATCGAAATTGGCCTTTGTCTCAAGACCGGCCTTAAGACCAGTTTTTGGAGGTCTCTGTCTTGCTCGGAATCGAAAGCATTTTGCTTGGTTTTGTCTCAGTCTCAGACCAGGTGGACTCCGGATTACAAATCAAGATCAGTCACGAACACCACTGTAAAGCTATTTTTCTCTGTCATTACTGTAACTAGAAGAAATAATAAATAACTTCAATTGATTCATAACTTGATTTTTATCCCTGGGTTACATCCGCAAATGGTCTAAGTGAGTGACACGCCTGCTGCACACAAGATGATGATTTTTCAGAGATATTTATGGTCTTGTTCTTATCTCGGCCTCGCTCTGCCTCGGTCTTGATTCGGTCTCTGAGCATTCCTTTCTGGAGAACATCTTGGTCTCTGACTACAACATCAGCACAATGTTTTCATCACATGTCAGCATCCTGCAAACTCTCAACCTTTACCCCCCTCCCTTCATCCCACATCCCTCGACCCTTACTCTCAACCCACATCTTCCAACACTTACCCCTATCCATTCATACCTCAACCTTCAATCCTCGACCCTTACCCTCATCCATTCATACCTCATCCTCATGCTCATCTCTACATCCCCTTCATCTATTGACCTTTATAATGGTAAATGGTACATTTTTATTTTATTTTATTTAACCTTTATTTAACCAGATAAATAACCCATTGAGATCAGGATCTCTTTCACAAGGGTGACTTGGCCAATAAGGCAGCAGCACACGTCATAAAAAGCATTACATGATAAAGAGACAGTTTACAAACAACAAGTTAAGAGAGAACAACGATTTACAATGTGCAAATTGATTTACAAATAAAGTGCAGAATCTTGATCACGGATTACAATTCAGAAACACAGGCACTCTCCAATTGACTCGCGTATTTTATATTTTAAGATTGAGCCAAAGGCTTCAAGCGAGATAAGATCCGCCATTTTCAATTCATTTTGGAGAAAGTTCCATGCGGTGGGAGCAGCAAAACGAAACGCTCTTTTCCCGAGCTCAGTGCGGACACGAGGCACAGTTTAAAGACATCACAGGAACGCAAGGCATAGTGGCTTCTGGTTCTTTGAAGGTAATAGAACATAAATAAGAAGGCACCAAACCAAGAAGAGCTTTAACGCACAGTGATACACAGTGTCCAATGACTGTAAAAATTTGGCCGAGGCGCCCATATACAGTACATCTCCATAATCCAACAAAGGAACAAAGGTTGATGAAACAAGAAGTTTCCTTGCTCTGAGGGAAAAGCAGGATTTATTTCTGTAATAAAATCCCAACTTCACTTTAAGTTTAGAGGCCAAATTGGCAATATGTGATTTAAAAGCTTTCACCTGCTTTTTGTAACATAACAATGAGTAAGGTCTTTTTACCTGCTCTTTTGTAATGTTAACAAAGAGTAAGGTATTTTACCTGCTTTCTGTAAAGTGTCCTGAGACACCACTTGTTATGAGTTGACGCTATACAAAATAAATTGAATTGAATTGAATTGAAAAGACAGATCACACTCAAGAATAAATCCCAAGTACTTGTAGCTTTTGACAAAATCGATTACATTTCCTTGAAAAGTTAAAATCAGTGGGACATTTGTTGTTTCTCCACTTAAATGAGAAAACAACATGAGCTTTGTTTTATCAGTGTTTATGACCAACCTTAGTTCCCTCAAACGAGACTGGACAACATTGAAAGCTGACTGCAGAAACTCAAAAGCTTGTGCAACAATAGATGATAGTGTCATCAGCATAAAAGTGATACATGACATTTGACAAATTTTCACACGTTATTGATATAAATGGAAAATAAAATAGGTCCTAGTATCAAACCTTGGGGCACCCCTTTTGAGATTTCTAAAAAGGAAGAGGTGGATCCTGCCATTTGCACGCATTGCGTTCTGTTTGACAGATAGTTGCCAAACCAAGAGGCTGCTTGCTTTGATAAACCAACTTGATGGAGGATTTTGATCAATAATCCATGATCAACTGGATCAAAGGCCTTTGATAAATCAATAAAGAGAGCTACACAAAATTGCATACAATCAATTTTTTCAATAATGTCAGTCTGACTGATACTTAGATAACACATTATTGGCATCCAAAAAATCCTTCAGTTGTTCACTAATGATTTTTTCAAATACTTCAGTCAAAATGCAAAGTTTAGAAATTGGTCTGTAATTGTTCACTTGTGAGGGTTCACCCCCTTTTAACAGGGGAAGAACAAATGCTGATTTCCAGACCTTTGGGATTTCATTGCTGATCAGACTGAGGTTAAAAATATATGAAAGAGGCTCAGCAATAAAATCAGCGGCCAACTTAAGGAAGAACGGCTCAAGTTTATCAGGACCTGCTGATTTCCTGGAGTCCAGTTTCTGTAATGCTCTCTGCACCTCAGTGGCAGACACTGGCATAAATTGAAAAGGATGAACAGTAAGTTGACTATCAACCTCAGATGCCAGTGACGCATTATGCTGATTTTTGTTGGATTTTACCAAATCAGGGTGCAATGAGTCAAATAAAAGCCAGCTGAAATAAAATGTTCATTAAAACAATTTAGCATGGCTGATTTGTCAGTCAGGATGCAAGACTCTTTGACTAAGTGGGCTGGCACATCACTGGGTGACACATGGCCAGAAGAAAATTTTATGACTTTCCAAAGTTTCTTTGGGTCATTAAGGTTTTTTGTGGTTTCAGAGATTAAATACTCTGATTTCTCCCTCTTAATTAGGGTTGTACATTTATTACGAAGCTGGCGAAAGAGGAGCCAATCCACTGGGGTTTTGGATTTCCTTGCCCTGGCCCAGGCAACATCCCTATCTTTAAGTAGATTTCCAATCTCTGTTGAAAACCAGGGGTTGTTTCGCCCTTTAACCCTGAATATGCGAAACAGGGCATGTTTGTCTATTAAAACCAGAAATCCATCATAAAAATACTTCCAGGCTAGCTCTACATTATCAAAGAGAAAAACTGTGGTCCAATCAAAACAAGCCAGATCATGTATAAAAGCTTGTTCGTAAAAGTGTTTAAAATCTCTTTTAAGAAGAAGCCGAGGCTTGGTTTTGGGAAGCTTGGCATTTCGAACTGTTGCAATGGCACAATGATCATTTGCAAAAACCCCTATATCGGTATACTTATGCGGGGCATTTGTCAAAATTAAGTCCAGTAGGGTTGATCTTGTGGGTTGTTTAATATTAGGACAAGTTGGACTATCAATCAGTTGAGACAAGTTTAGAGAGGCACAAACAGATATGAGGCTGTCCGTGGCTGTGGACAGCCAATCACAATTTAGATCCCCAACCAAAAGTAGCTCACTGGAAGGAGGACAAGGCTTCCAAACAGGCTGAAGGAGGTCTATAACAACCCAAAACTGAGATAGACTGGCCCTGAGAGAATTCAAGTTTCAGGGCAAAAAGTTCAAATTGCTTGCTGATGGGTCACAGATGTTAGGATGGTAGCATGGAACTTATTTTTGACATAAATAGCAACGCCACCACCTTTTCTGGGCCGATCACTACGAAAGACATTGTAACCTTTAATAAAAATATCTTTGTCTGAGACTGACTTACCAAGCCATGTTTCAGACAATACAAGAATATCAGTATCAGTTGACTGTGTCCAAATTTTAATTACGTCCAATTTTGGGACAAGGCTCCGAACATTGATATGAATGATACCAAGGCCAGTTCTGGCTCTGAATTCATCAGGTGTAGCAATATTATTCAGTGCAGGGCCTGGATTTGGTTTAACATTGCCTGAGAGTAAAAGTAGAAGTAGAATAAAACCTTTTTTCTTTGCATTTAGTGTTGGTACAGGACCATCATTATGATGCTTGACAAGATCAATAAGTGAGATCTCTGACAATGTGAAATAATTTTTCAATGATTGAGAAAAAAACAATCTCAAATATGAAACATGCAGCAATAAGCAACAAGGCAGTGTCGGTCAAACAGCGGCCATTTTCAACAGACTGTTGTCATAGAGACAAGACGGACGTGCAGCTCTTTAACTCTCAGTGCCGAAAACGCTCATTCAATTGCTCCTGAGCGCACAGCCAGCGCTTTTCAACCCAGAAAAAACGCTATGTGGACAGAGGGCCTAACAATCACTTCCTTATAAAACATCTGTGAAACCAATCACACATAGTCACAAATGGTGGGAGAGACCGTTAATTAATGCAAGATTTTACGTCATGATCTTACAGTTCTTTACTGTGGTGTTCATAAAAACATGGACAAAGAACAAGCATGTTATGTTCATATTTCACATAAACGTTTTAAAGTTTACATATTACTACAGTTGATTCACATTTCTGGATATATATTTTCCTTTTTGTTGACTGTGTATTTCTTTCTGCGGAGCTTTATTTGCTACGAAAACCTGCTGTAACAACCACAATTTCCAAGTTTGGGATGAATAATAAAAAATAAAATTCTGTCGGTCAGTCCACTGAATGACAAGTGGTTTTAGAAACAGAAACATTATTTTATGTCTTTACTTATGGCAGTTACTTCCTGAACAGTATTTGTCACCCAGAGATCGCCAGAGAAGGAGGAAGAAAAAAAAACAAGGTTGTTGTCCTGAGATAA